GTGCTAAAGGCGGATCGCGGGAAGAATATTCTGGGATAGCTCGACAAAAATCTAATTTTTAAGTTAAATTATATTTAAAAAGGATCTATAAAATATATAATTTTCATTGTTTAATAGAAAAAAAAATACATTTCATTGTAATCAAATAAATTGTTTTTTAAGTTAACTGGTGATATTATTTATAACTATTATGTAAAAAAAAACCATTTTCGTGGAAAAAATTTTGCAACATGTTTTATAAATATCGGAACTACTATGGTAAGAAAAATACAACAGATTTAGAGTTTTTATTTGGAACAATATTGTTGGTTATACAGGGTGATTTACAAAACTTGTAGTTTCTAAAATAATACCTAATTATTTCTTATTTGTGAATTTGGATAGCTTTTTCTCCAGTTTTCGTTTACAGTTGTTTAAACTTATCTTCCTGTTAATATCCCTTAATCTAATATACGTTCGTGTTCTACTTAAACACAAAATTACTTCAAATTGCACGGGTGTCTTTTGCAACTGAGCTGCAGTTTTTTGAGCTAACTTATTGAATATATCTTTATCTTTGCTTAAAGACTGCCCGTGCATTTTGTAAAATTCGCCTTCTAGAACTTGCGTTTGGCATTATGTGAGAGCTGATATGGAAAGTAGATTTATAATCGCACAAGGGTGGAAACTGGAAAGTGGATTCCTATTCATACGCGTGTGATGATGATAATAAGGGCACTTTCCATAAAAAGTGTGATATGTGTCCCTTTCCTAAGTGGTCGTAAATAGGAGCTTGTCTTAAAACACCTACCTATCTCATTTATCATTTTTTAAATTAACGGTATCTAATAAGGTTCTTACTTACCATTTTTTAAATTAATTTTATCTTCCCGCCGACAAGCTTGTATCCACTGCTTCGCCAAATCTTCATTTTTTTGAAATCCAAAGTATTTTATGCCCGTTCCTTGTGTTTTTCTGTTATTATTTTTACATGTCGCCACTGCACAGCTCGGCATTTTTCTTAAAATGTATGCTACTTTTAAATTGATATATTTACAAATTAAACGTACGTTGTAATAGTTAACACATAAACAACAAACACAAAGACTCACTACCCGATATTATACAAAAATCGAACAAAATTCTAACAATAACCATTTAAATTTAAATGTGACATTTATGTTTTGAATCCATAGTGACGTCATGCGCAGAGACGGTCGAATTTGAGTTTACAAATCAGCATACCGTTGTTTGTGTATCGTGATTTGATATATATGCTTAAACACTCAGATAAATAAATAAATAATAGATACAGCCCTATCATGCAATATTTGTAACCAGCATCTCCTCTCACTATATAGCAGTGGTTACACGACTTGATTGGATATTCGCTATTTTGGTTACACAGCTGATTGGTTAGCAAAAAATTGACAGGAATACGTTAGTTAGGTTAGTTATTTTATTGTTATTTTGTAGTTCATTTTGAGTTTATTTCGTACTTTAATTGAAACATTTTTGTGGTTTAAGTTATTTTGGTGCATTTAATTGCTTAAAAATGCCAGTGAATTGTATTGTGTGCTCGAGAAAGTATCTCAAGTTCAGTTCGATAACGTTTCATAGGTAAGTAAATAAAAATCATTACCGCTGCATCACACTTTTTTGAGGGGTATCATAATTCAAAATAAGGTTTAAACAACAAAAATTTATTTTAAAGTTTAAAATAACATTCAACGTCGAATTTCGAAATATTTTATTGTGCCTGTGTTTAATAACTTTGAATTTATTAATAGGCTATCTTTAAATTAAAGTTGTATTGTTATGCACACTGTACATTTAAGAAGGCTCTAGTGGCATTCACTTTAGTTATAAAATCTTAGTGTTGCTTTATTTTAATGACAAAATATATTGTTAGAACACCATAGTTATTTTAAAGTATACTATGTTGCATTCTGTATTACATATGAAATCCTACCTACCTATATGAATAAGAAAACACTATTTATACCTATTTAGGTTTCCAAAAGATCCTCAAACTAGATATATGTGGATGAAGAGTTTGGGTATACGTGAGGATGAAGAGTGTATTCAGTAGATTTTGTTCAAGACATTTTGAGGATTCTGCCTTTGCTAAGTCTCCAGGAAGAAAAATGTTTTTAATGAAAGGAGTAATGCCCTTATTTTACTCACATCCTGAAGCTGTTCCTTAACTGGAAACTATGTCACATTCTAAACCTTCTACATCTGAAACTAAGTGAGTATTTGAACAAAAACTATAAATAATAAAAATGTTTTTTTGTCTATGTCTAATTAATTTGAATATTCTAAGTAGTAGTAGGGGAACCAATAAATTTTGTAATTTTTTAATTACCTATTCATGTTATTTTAATAACACAATAATATATATATGTAATTATTATGATATGTTTTCTTATTGTCTAAATTAAAAAAGGTTTCATTTATCTCAAGTGAATGTATATTATATTTACTTATTATAGTTACACGTCACATAATTAATTTAATTTGTAAATTGTGTAGTAGGAAAATGGTTGCCAGTATCGCATCATCCTGGAAATATCTAATTCGTATTCTTGGAGACTTGTCTCGATTCTGCTTACGATCCTTTAAGTCTTTCAAAGTCATCCGTTTTTTCCACAGGTACAGTCTGAAGAACATCTAAAGCATCCCCTTGAAAGGCGATGGTCACATTTTCTCTCGTTCAAACGTCCACGACGAGATTAAATAAGAATTGGGCAGTAGAAGAACCGATAATTGGATCAATCTCTTACGGCTAAGATACTTCTGGGTAAATGATGAATATAACCAGAAAACATCATAAGCCTGTGTGAGATCTGTATACCCATTTATAAATAGTAATGTTAGTACCCGTAAGGCCATCTATGTTTCAGCTTCATATAAGTGTTTCTCCTAATATCACAGTCATCTGTAGTCTGTGACCCCGTAGGATTATAGATCGTACGTAGATGCCGCCACGAGTACTTAATAAGAGTCAGATGCGCATTGTCTCGCATTACAAGTTCGTATTTCATTTTAAGTTTTGTCTTGTATTATAACCATTACTGAATTACTGTGTTTATCAGAATACTAGAGAATAAAAGCTTACAACAAGGTGTTGTTATATTGAGTAGTGCATAAATAAGGCATAAATCACAGCCTACATCTGCCTGAGCAAGAACAGGCTTCGTATTGTAACAGGGTTCCTTACCGGGCATTATCGACTAAAAGGACACCTTAGTAAACTGAGAGTAGTAGAGGATAGTGAGTGCAGATTCTGTGAGAAGGAGGACGAAACCTCCATTCACATTCTAACTGAATCTGTAGTACTCCAGAATCCAAGGGCACCATACCTAGTAGGAGGATATCAAATATAAAAGAGAGAGAGATTTACCTAACACGAAGCCACTCCAAATCCTACACTTCCTTGAGAAGATAGGATTGGAAGGGTCGTTATAGGCATTGAGACATTTCCTTGGTGCATTAGCGACAGAAGGGGGCACAATAGATATTTTAGGTCGCAGTGTATTAACACCCCATTCCCAACAACATCTCAAGTGAATGTATATTATATTTACTTATTTATTATCACGTCTCATAATTAATTTAATTTGTAAATTGTGTGGTAGGAAAATTGTTGGGTTTTATTTATCTGTAGTTAACGAATATTAGTTTTAGTTATCTAGGTACCTGTCACATAATTATTTGATTTTTAAATTATTTGAAAGGAAAATTGTTGGCAACTAAATTATTATTATTATCATCACCCCATTATCCATTATTAATTGTTATTTAACCAAATGAGTACAATAACACAACGTCTCTAAAAATTGCTTAACGTTGTTCTATTTCTATCTGACAAAATTCATCGAAATTAAGTTTTAAAAGCCAAAATGTTTGAGTTTATCATTCAAAATATTGTGTATTAGAAAACCTTGGCAATATTTTAAAACGGTAATTATGAACTTATCAGTTATTACATAAGTATCGCTTTATTCTAAACTGTTATTATAACATTTGTCTTTGTTTTGTTTTCCAGATCTAACCCAACTATTTAATAAAATGAATGACATACCTATTATAAAAATTGTTTTTTTAACCCTACTTTCCCAATTATTAAAAACCATAAATATTTTGTGCACAAAATTTAATTAACTTAAAAGGGACTAACAATAAACAGATACATTATTCTATTTTTTATTACATATATAAGCGGTACTCATAATAAATCAATAAAAATAATTTACAAAAGAATCGATATTATTAAAAAATATTAGTACAAAAATTTAGAATTTATAAAACCTATCATTTGCAACGTTTATTCAAGTTATTTGTGTATAAAAATAATGTATGTTTTTAATTTAAAAAATATATGTATTGGTCGACTGAAAAATTCATTATTGACGGTTTTCCATAAACATCTCATATTAGAAACATTGATCCATTGAAATATCTCAAAACTAATAAAATAATATAAATCAAAAGCATTTCTATTGACATTTATTTGATACGCTACTGAATAATAAAAGTAAACAAACCCCGCTCTTCCCCTCCTAACAACTGGCTTGTATATGTTGCTTTCAAACAAACGCAATGTAAATTTTTGACATTCAGTTATCTATTATTATTTATTTATCTGAGCTTAAACACTGTTGCCCTGTTCCTCTCTGGAAAAACTTCTATGTACGCCCATGTGAAGTAATACAAAATAAGCGGTAAGCGATGCCATTCTAGTATTCTTTCATAAAAATACTTGAAATGCGGATAAAATCCCGCTATTGGCAACACTGCAAAAATTTTCCATGCTTCTTTTTGTTCGTTAGAAAAGGGTCTTTTACTAGAAACGACAAAATGAATTTCTACCTTTTCGCATTAAGCAATTTCTTCTTTTAAGGCCTCTTGTCTTAATGGTTACAAGGCAAATATCTTCTTTTTCGTTTTGAACCTCTTATGTTGTGGGTTACAAAGTATATTTATCTTCTTTTTGCATTTCTTTTTAATTTTTTATACACCTATAAGTGCGCACCCAGACAATGGGTCCTATGATTGAACGTTTACGTTATCCGTAACGTACATGTTAGGCCGAATTTTAAAAGTAACGAGGCAAGTTCGTTTGATAGAAACCTGTTAAATTAGAACATAACAGGCGGAAAATAACAGTAATGTGTTATGAAAGACTTTACATCATACGAATTTGTCTCTTTGCTGTTAAAACTCGGCCCATTGGGTCCTATGATTGAACGTTTACGTTATCCGTAACGTACATGTTAGGCTCAGTTTTAACAGTAATTAGACAAGTTCGTATGATGAAAAACGGTTTCCAACACATTACTGTTATTTTCCGCCTGTTATGTTCTAATTTAACAGTTTTCCATCATACAAACTTGCTTCGTTACTGTTAAAATTCGACCTAACATGTACGTTATGGATAACATAAACGTTCAATCATAGGACCCATTGTCGCCTTTTTTTCTAAGGTTACTTGTCTTAAGGCAATTCAGCTACCAATAACTCGTGAATCTTTTAGGTTATGTTTGAACTTTCATAAATGTGTTTTTGAAAAATAAAAATATACACATATCAGTTTTAAAAATGGTATGTGTACAATATATAAGTACAATTTATTTTCTATCAATATTTTTTTCATTACAGAAGGCTAAAATTTCGAAATCAAAAAGAAACAACCAGAAGAAAAATAAGCTTATTAAACAAGGTGTTATTAAAAAAGTAAATAAACCTTTGAAAAAGGTTCCAAATGGTATATCTGCTGTTAAAAAACCCAAACCAGTAGAGGAAGATGAAAGCGATCAAGGTGAAGACTTGTTGGATATGGTCGAAGATGAAGACATGAGCTTTTTAAAAAGTGCAATTACCAGTCGGTCTTACAATATTTATAATAAAGTTCGATACAGCGAGTAAGTGTTATTTATTTTAAAATTATTACAATACATGATTGGTGCATTTTTAGACCTGAAGCAACAAAAACAAAAAGGAAGAAAGCCACTCAGGATGACGATACCATAGAAAACGATTTTGAGGAACAATTGGGTGAAAATGATAATAACGAAAAAATAAAAGAACTGTTACCAATCAAGACTAAAAAAGGGATTGTACGAAACCGCGTGGTTGAACAATTCCAAGGTAACATTTCAAATTTATAACTTCTACATGATTTTGATAAAATATTTTTATATAGATGATGAAAATGATATTGAACAGGAAAATACTGAAGAAGTTGTAGATGAAGAGCAAAGTGATGAAGAAAATTTCTCTTTAGAAACTTCAGGATTTGATATTGATGGTCCAATATCATTTAGTCAACTTTTAGCAAAACGCAATGAGGTACTGAACAAAGCAAAAATCCATATTGGAACCCTCAGCGCTGGTTTATTAGAAAACCCTGAAGAAAAAGTAACTAATTTACGAACATTACTGTCTATGTTGGATGAAGAAACAGCAGAAATGTATTCAAGCATAAGAAAGATAATTGTTGTATCTTTGTTAGAAGTTTTTAAAGATATATTACCATCTTATGAAATAAAAAGTGTACAAAGTGATGGAGTCAAACGTAAGTAGATGTGTACATATCAATACAGATTTTCTAGACAAAATCATTTTTAATTAAAGTAGTCCAAATAAATTACTCTTTAAACAAGTTTACTGGGAGTTATACTTCCAACTAGGACTTTACCTTGAACCTCTTTGGTTACCATGTTTCATAGGTGCGCAGTGCTCTTCTTGTCATCCATTGAATGATATGTTTTGCAATGATCAGTCCAACCTGTTGCTTACATGAGAGTAGATCACCTCCCAAAGTGGGAAATATCCCAGTATGCGTTCCCGTGTTTTTTTTTAAAGAATATTTGTTTTGCACTTTTAAAATTATTGTATTGCCTTTGTTTGAAATTGTCAAATGACTTAGATAAGTACCTACCACTGTTCTAAATTAGTAATATCTATATTTAATATGAAAAATATATGCAATCTTGGGTCAGTTATTTGATATTCTGGCTGTAAATAATTTTTTTCCTGTATTTAAACTTTTCTAAAAACAAATTTTAAGAGTATAAGGTTTGTTTTGATTTTGGAATTTAGAAATAAAATAGGAAAACCAATAAGCAGTAAAAAAATAACTAATTTTCTTGAAAAGTTAAAATTTTTAGAATAAAATATAAAATTACAAAAAGCAATAGGTGAATTTATAGTAGACAGGTCTTATTCAAGATTTGTAAAGATAAATAAGGATTTCTTGTAATAATAGTGAAATTTCAGCACTGAACTCAACTTTTTTTCAAAGTGTAAATTTATAGGCATGGAGTGTGTTTTTTAAAGCGTAAAACATGAAAAAATGCCAAAAGGTTCTTTGGGAGGATAATTTCCTACACAAAAAGATTGAATTTCGTTTAAAATGTTTAAATTTTGTGGTATACATTAGCTTAAGTTCATCAAAACATATTTGCAAATTTTATCCACCTGTGAAAAATATTACTGTTAAATTAACTGCTTTTTAAGTCAGTAATTCAAATGTACTTCATGATAATTCAATTAAAATTAGTGTTAAATACACAGTTAAAAACAATTATAAGTATTTTCTATATAATGGTAGTTCAAATGAATTATTCCTAAAAACTCACAAATTTGGGTGAGCTCTACAATTTTTATTTTTTCATAAATATTGCTGATACATTAACTGCCTTTTATAAGGTAGTAGTAGTAGTAGTTGAAATGTACTCCATTATAATTTCCGAGATAATTTCATTGAAATTAGTGTGAATTTAAATATACCTCTAAAAACAATTTTATATATTTTATAGATGGTAGTTCAAATTAATTGTTCCTAAAATTTCACAAATTCATGTGAGCTCCACAAATTTTTAATTTTACTGTCAAACTAACTGCCTTTTAAGTCAGTAGTTCAAATGTACTCTGTGATAATTTTATTAATATTAGTGTGAAATTAAATAGGTACATAAGGTAAGAGCATGAGTAATGACACTGGTAGAACATCTTATGTTGATTTAATGTAATTTTGGATTCGCCAGTAATCTATACCCTTTCACCAGTTATCACCTCCCCAGTTATCGACAGTTTCACTAGTTATTGTCGCCCAAGTTATTGACACTATTATGACAGCATTAAAGAGTCGAACGCTGGAGCCCCATAATACCTTAGTAATCGACAAAAAGTGTCGAACATTGGGGAATGATATGCATGTATGCATACCCAGTTAATGGAACCACTAAAATTTAGGTATGGATCCAAGTAAGCAATGAAATTTTACCAAAACCATGTGTTTTAGAACGCAAAGATACCTTACACAAAATTTCATTCACATATCTTACTATTTAAAAAGCAATAACCTATTTTATAATATAGGTACTTAGCTTGACAAATTTCTTTAAAAAAAAAAACAACGAAATTTCGCGTGGTCGACACAAAGCTTAACAACAACCAGCTTGAATGCAGTTAACATATGACCCACTATGTGGCGCTTTCATTGATATCAAACAAAAACGCAGCGAGAAATTTAAAAATATGATAATAAGGTGTATAAATATCGATTGCACTTTATTTATAGAATGTTAATTATGGTAAATTATTTATTAAAAAGAATACTACCCTTACAAGTCTATTATCGATTAATTATTGTAAATCTATTCATGACAGATATTTATTAATTTTTGATTGTTATTTAACATTTTTGTTCTTATTTTCCAAACGAATGGCCAATGGTGTCTCATTTATAAAAATGCTGATTAATAAATAAATACTTTGTGACAAAAGTTGGCTACTGCTTGTGTTACTTACATATGGATAGATCTTACTTTGGTAAATTAAAGAACGCCACATTGAGATAGCTAAATTTATTCATGTGGCATGTGTTACTATTGTAGTACGTGCTTCGACTCATTATTACAAAATATAATTATTGTCCTCAAATTGTACACAAAAACAACCACAATCATTTCGTTCAGTTTACCTTAGAGGATAAAACAATCATGAACTCAAAATTTAAATTCAGCATTCTATGATATACATACAACTAATTGACATTTATTTTTACAAACTGTTCACTTCTACTGTCTGTCTACAAACGACGTGTACCCTTAGTGGCCTTAGTTAACATCTGAGACGCAAAGATGACGCCATCGTTGCTGCGGTCGTTGCGTTTTCGATCTTTATGTCCCTGATCTCTAAATGTGACCTTTGAGGATTTTGACAGTGTTTGCCAGAGACATTAGACTTTCGTCCTGGCAGAAAATTATGTACAAATCTGAACACATGTCCTTATTAAGAGAGTTTGAATTATAAAGTGTCGATTACTGGTGCACTTTCAATTACTGGTGCTCTTACCTTAGCTTAAAGTAAGTTAAAATATTTTATAGATGGTAGTTCAAATGAATTATTCCTAAAAATTCACAAATTTAGGTGCACTCTACAATTTTTCATAAATACTACTGTTATATTAACTAACTTTTATGGCATTAGTTTAAATGTACCCCATGATAATTTAACTGAAATTAGTGTGGAGTTAAATATAGAGAAAGTAAAAGTTGAAAAGTCTTTTGGTAGGTAGAGAGGGGGTAAACGTCAAACCACGTCGGGCGGCTCCGAGAATTTCACATTAATGTTTACCTGCCAGTGTCGTTTCATAGAATAAGTAATTTTAAATTGTTATCGGCGGAACCGGACAATCGCATGTATTTATGGATTATAAATAATTAATAATAATAATTAATATTATAATTCTACAAAATTTTAACAGCTATTCACAATTTATTAAACTATTTACTCGAAATTGTTATTAGCATCTATAAAATAATTTTGTACACCAATGTATCGCGTCCACTTCGGTGAGATCCGCTGCCAACCTGTCAATTTATGTGTATAAAGTGGGAGAACTGGCAAAAGCATTTCCAACTTTTACTTCTGTTCTACACAGCTAAAAACAATTTGAAAATTTCACAAATATATGTGAGCTCCATAAATGTTTTATTTTTTATAAATATTACTGTTAAATTAACTATCTTTTAAGTCTGTAGTTCAAATGTACTTCATGATATATACAGCTAATACAAGTTTTAGTATTTTATATGGCAGTTCAAATGAATTATTTCTAAAAAAAAAAAAACAAAACTGAACTTCCAGATTTTCTCATAAATATTACTGTTAAATTAACTACCTTTTAAGTCAGTAGTTCAAATGTACTGCATGATAATATAAATACATGATTCATTTAAAATTTCGCCGACGACGTCATAATTTGATAAATATGACAGATAACGAAAATCCCTAATGACCCTAAGCAACATTAAATAGTGCAAAAAATATAGGAACAAAATTTATTCGAGTCTATTTTCAGTACAATCCATAATCGAGCCACAAAGCGCGGTGGTCTGTCAGTTTTGCCCAACCCTGTATACCAAAATCATACTTTATTTGACTAATTAATTATTTCTCTGCAGGGAGTTTTGCAAAAAATGCCAATTTTTGTTTATTTTAACCTCATATAACTTTTTACTGTCATCGTATATGGTGTCCAAAGTATTTATTTTTGTTAATGTGATAGTTTTGGACAAATTACGATATACAGGGTACATTGTAAAATAGCAATACTCATTGAGCCACCCCGTATACGTGCATTTTTTTATAATAAAGTGTCATTTACACACACTTGTATAACCATCATTATTTTAGGTGTTAAATAAATTTTTTAATATGCACTTTTCCTACTTTAATTTAAAAAATCTCTCCTTATATAGTTGTTTATCAAAAACAGGTTGGTATTGCATTTTGGAAGTCACAAATATCTTAGAGAGTCAAACTGTAACTTTTAATATTTATGAATATCAAGAAAATAACGTTTACGTCTTAAAATATTTTTGAAAATTATTGAAATTCACAAATTTAACATGCTGTATCTCAAAAACTAGTCATAGGAGAACTTTGTGCCCATGATTTTTTCATAATTCTAATAAGTGTTAACTGCCTGAAAAATCTGCTGCTGCTAATTTATTTTTAATAATAGTTCAAATTAACCATGATTAAAACACACAAATATTATTATTTCAGTGAAAAAGGATACACTAAAATTGAAAAAATATGAGGAGAGCTTACTTTTATACTATAAAAAATACCTTCAAAAATTGGAAAAATATGCATTCGTTCTTTTTAAGAAAAGGGGCGATTCTAGAATAAGATCAAAAGTAAGTCACAATGTATTAAACTATTTTGCAATTATACAAATCATTCTTCTGTTCTATTTTTTTAAGCCACAGGTTTATTTTTTAGGAAGAAATTATATTGGGCACTCTAGCAATCCACTCTATGTGTGATCTATTAATGACTCATCCTTATTTTAATTTTTCACAAAACGTTGCACAAGCTATTGTACCATTTCTGAACAATCGGGATAAAAAAGTGAGGGAAATCGTAAAATCTTCAATAACCACAATTTTCAAAGAAGACAAGAAGGAAGAAATTACAGTAAAGGTACTCAGTTGTCTATTTTTTTTTATTTTGTGCTTCGAATGTACTTTTATTTTACAAAAGTAAAATTATAATTTGCAATGACTTTAAGAGTTTCCTTTTGCAGATTCTTAGGGTAATAAATCATTATTTAAAAACCCATCTCAACGTTCATGTAGAAATGCTAGAAGTTCTTTTGGTATTAAATTTGAAAGAGGTCAACTTGGACCAGGAAAAGGAACATGATATGAAGCAAAAGAAATTGATGTCCCACAAATCCAGGATACTGCAGCTATCTAAGAAAGAGAAAAAGGTAAGTGCTACATTTATATATTCAAAATTTACTAGAGGTCTTTGTCTAAAAATTTAAAAACCCAAAATATATTTTTCCTTATTGATTTCTTTATGGTCTATTTCTTGTAAACTATGTCTAGATGCATCCTCTTTCTCTTTTTCTGTTCGTAACGTTATTAAATCATTTTTGATGTGATTCAAAATTGAATTAGCGATGCCCGTACAATCCCTTGGGAATTCCAGCAGCTGCATAAATAGTTTTATTTTAGAGGAAAAAGAAGCTAAAGGAAGTAGAAAACGAGTTGTTAGAAACGAAAGCGGAAGAAAGCAAACAAAATAGGCAGAAAAACTTGTTGGAAATTACCAAAATAATTTTCAATATTTATTTTAGAATCCTTAAGAATTCCAATAACACTAAATTACTGGGCGTTTGTTTGGAAGGATTAGCCAAGTAAGTAGTTTTATCTCAACGTAGATACATTGATATTTCCTTTAATGTTTTTCTTAATTTATTTTAGGTTTGCACATTGCATAAATATTGAATTCTACATAGATATTGTCAATGTATTGGACAATCTTTTGAAAGAAGATTGGCTAGGTTACAGGGAAAGGTTGTTTTGCATCCAAACCGTATTCTCGATACTTAGTGGCCAAGGGGATGCTCTCAATATGGATCCGCTTAGGTAAATTCAGCACAATATTATAAAAGTTAAATTCTATAAAGAACAATATTCTTTTTCTTATTTTTTAAATCAAATTTTTCCAGCTTCTGGTAAAATAAATACTTTGGGTTAAATAATAAATATAATATAATAATAATAAAAAATATCTTCCGTTTACTCTTAATTTTACTTCAAATGAAACAAAAAATTAACATAGACGTTCTAATTATCTTCTTACCGCTTCGATAATACAGAAAAATCCATACGCGTCAAATCAGGTAAACGCGGCGGTCATCTAATACTTCGCTTACCTTTCGCTAAAATTACCGTTATTATTCTCTATAGGTTTTACAACAGCCTTTTCAAGGAACTGCTTGCCATTAATGCTTCCTCGAAAAAATCCGGCGACGTATCGGTGCTGATAAAAACGTTGTGCGAGGCTCTGATCAAGAGACGAAAAAAAATCACGCAAAATAGGACGCTCGGATTCATCAAGAGAATGGCACAGTTGAGTTTGCAGTTGACTCACGAAGGAACGTTAGGCTGTTTGGGAATTATCAAAACTATTATGCAGTTGACCAGGTGAGTTCATTTAAAACTATTATAGACCAGTCGAATTAACTCATTTAAATTAGTTTATATTCGACTGTAGATAAGTGAGGATGTATGTTTATTAAAATTACTCCGTAACTAGATCAGTTTCGTTTGCGTATGTAGTATAAAAATAATAATAATAATGTGCCATTAAAAATAGTTTTACAATATGTAGAAAAAAAAAAATAAAACAGAATCAACACCTGCCGAAGTGCTTTTGGAGTAAAAAAACAGGACTTGCGTCAGGTAAATCAAACAAATATTTTAATGGAAGTAGGAGAAAATCTACTAGCCCAACAATATCAGGCCTTATTTCATGAAAATCAAGCTATAAGTCAGAATGAACAGGCATTGTACAATGCTTGGATACAGGAAAAAGCTGAAAAACAGCAACTAAAAAAAGTGCATTGCAACAAATGCAAAACAATATGGAAAATATGCAAAAACAAATTAATATCTTAAACAAAGAAAAATCTAACGAATTATGAGACTGATGAAGAAGAACTGGCAAAAGAAATCGGCGATCAAATTAACAAAGAAGTAGAATGGATAACAGCGGAAAGCAGAAGGAAGAAAAAACGAAAAGCCAACTCCTCTTCAGAAACCTCTCCTGGCCAACCTGGAGGTAGCAAAAATCTACAATAAGTCGAAAAAACAGTAAAATTTTCCCCGATAATAGCAAGCAACATCAATAAGTATGAAGAATTGCGCCATACACTGGCAGAAAATAATATTTCTTTTCAAGCCACAGCTCTAAGCAAAAACCAGTTTAAAATTAATACTAAACAAGAAGAAGACTTCAAAAAAGTCATTTCAACCTTAAATGCCAAAGATATAAGCTGGCATTCCTATGAAATTAAACAGAACAAAGACATTAAAGTATTGGTTAGAGGTCTACCATCTACATTTAAACCAAGATATATTATTGAAGATTTGTAAAGTCAAGAATTAAAATGTAAAGAAGCTGTCAATATAATAAAAAAGGGAATAGAATCAACCGAGGATAATACTCGTAAACTAAATAAAAAATCATTACCACTATTCATGCTATCCTTTAAAAATATTGAAGATGTCAAGAAAATCTACGAAATCAAAGCAATACTTAACCTAAGAGTTAGAATAGAAATCATAAGAAAGTCAAAACTAGTTCCGCAATGCAAAAACTACCAGCTATTTGGACATACAACTTTTGCACAAAAATCAGGATGCGTAAATTGCGTGAAAACATCATACAAAGGATTGTGTAAAAATTCAAGAATAACAACCGAAGTGTATAAACTACCTACCTACAACATCTGCAAACTACAGAGGATGTGAGGTAACTAAAACCTTTCAGATAAGGAAGGATAACACCACTAAACCTAAAATATAAGGCATTTTCGGAAACCTACTGTAGATAACAAATCCAGATTACTGGGTTTCCCCGATAGATTACTGAACTTAGTGCCGACAGTTTACGAACGAGTTGAATTATTATTCCTGTTGATCTACGTCTGTCAATCTTTAAAAATATTGAAGATGTCAAGAAAATCTACGAAATCAAAGCAATACTTAACCTAAGAGTTAGAATAGAAATCATAAGAAAGTCAAAACTAGTTCCGCAATGCAAAAACTGCCAGCTATTTGGACATACAACTTTGCAAAAAAATCAGGATGCGTAAATTGCGTGAAAACATCATACAAAGGATTGTGTAAAAATTCAAGAATAACAACCGAAGTGTATAAACTACCTACCTACTACCTCTGCTAACTACAGAGGATGTGAGGTAACTAAAACCTTTCAGATAAGGAAGGATAACACCACTAAACCTAAAATATAAGGCATTTTCGGAAACCTATTGTAGATAACAAATCCAGATTACTGGGTTTCCCCGATAGATTACTGAACTTAGTGCCGACAGTTTACGAACGAGTTGAATTATTGTTCCTGTTGATCTACGTCTGTCAATCTTTGACGTTTTCCCCTTACTTGTTAAAGAACCATTTTATTTAAACATATTTGTAGTCTGACTAATAAAGTCGCTTTATGGGCATAAATATTACAAGTTATAATTAATTAAAGGTAGAAAAAACTTCAAAGCTACTACTGGCAGTCACCAAAAACCAAAAAATTGCGTTATCCCTTTATAAAATCCTGCGGTACGCATGCGGATCTATTACTAATCTACTCGTAGAGTGGGTCACAAAATATTGATCTCGACCACAAAGCTGGATCAGTAATCTACTAGTTTCCGAACGCGGATAGGGTTAATTACCATAGGTAAACGAACAATAGGATCCATAATCTTTTTGATCCGAGTAAGTTTCCGAAAACGCCTATAGACGTGGCAAAACAGACCTTAAACGCTTTTCCTACTGTCAGAAATGAAATAACATTCTCAGGTAACAAACTCACAGGAGCAACCAATTCAAAGGTCACAACCAGCCATGAATCCCACGCCACAAATTGCACAGCATACTGCACAGTCAGCCAGCCTAGCAAAAAGTACCACTCATGAATTGTTATTATCCTTAATAACCAGAATAAATTCACTCTGTGACAGGATCCAGAAGCTAGAAGAATTAAATATACCCCAAATATATAACAAAACCACCAATGAACAAAAGAGATATTAGAATAGCCACTTGGAATGCCAATGGTATTCTCCAAATTTTCTCGTACGTACAAAAAATAGGTTAATTGTCTGATTTCTGAGACCCACCTTACAACAGAGTCATACATTAAATTCAGAGAAAACAACTTCTATCACACTATCCATCCATCAAATGCAGCAAAAGGAGGAAGTGCGTTAATTATTAAAAATTAAATTTCCCACTATGAGGAACCAGGTATCCAAGAACCGAAAAAATCCGGTAACCATTAGCACCATTGACATTAAAAGGGCAAAATTACAATAGCTGCAATCTATTGCCCACCAAGATAGAACCAGAAAAAAGAAAATGATCTCAATGTACTCAAGAAACTAGGTAACAAATTTATAATCGGTGGAGATTACAACTCCAAAAACACCAACTGGGGTTCAAGATTAACCACAGTCAAAGGAAAAGAATTTCACCGAGCTGCATCAGAACTTCGTTGCACATACCAATCTTCTGAAAAACCCACCTATTGGCCCACCGATCCAAATAAGATTCCAGACGTTTTGGATTTCTTTATTCCGAGAAAAATTTCACCAAACTATACACAAGTAGAAGAAAACTTTGTTATGTATTCTGACCATTCTACAGTAATCCTTACTCTAATCCTAATCCTAAATCACAAAGAAGAATCCTTCAACAGATACCTAGTAGGGCTATCAGATGATAAAGGAACTGATTATTCGCTCTGGAAGGCAACTAAAAAGATCAAAAATTTGTGTAAACACTGTCCTCCTATCAGAATAGCAGATAACAAATGAGCAAGAGACAATCAACAGAAAGCTGATATTTTCGCTGACCACCGATAAAAGACGTTCCAATTAGATGAAAAGCAAGACACTTCCAACGAGATGATCCATAATATGGAACAACTTGAAATTAGGCTAGTTATTCCCAATGAAGTTACGAAAGAAATTCAGACAAACATCAACTCACAGAAAGCCCCAGGATATGACCTTATTACTGGAGAAATATTAAAGAAACTACCACGGAATGCTATTGTTAAATTGACATACCTCATAAATGCATCATTTCGCCTTAAATATATACCTACCTGATGCGTGGAAAATGGCTGAAGTTATCCTAATTCCTAAGCCAGGAAAACCTCCGAATGAAGTGTCATCATATAGACCTATATAATTGTTACCGATAATATCTAAGTTATTTGAAAAACTACTACTAAAACGACTAAAACCAATGATTGAAAATAAAAATCCTTCGCACCAATTTGGTTTTAGAAACAAACACTCGACAATAGATCAAGTACCCAGTATAGCCAATATCGAAAAAGCTTACGAAGAAAAATATATATGCTCAGCTATATTTCTTAACGTAGCCCAAGCATTTGACAAGGTTTGGCACCCTGGCCTGATACAGAAACTTGAAAATGTGCTCCCTAGACAATATGTCGAAATTCTACAATCATATCTAACAGGAAGAATGTTTAGAGTAAAGCAAGACGAGGCATACTCCGGAATGAAAGAAATTAAAGCAGGTATCCCACAAGATAGTGTGCCAGGACCGGTTCTTTACTTATACACCAGCGATATCCCTTAACAACAATGTGTTAAAATAGCAACATTTGCGGATGACACTGCAATATTTGCACTTGGCGGAACTAATGAAGATACCTTAGAAAAACTTCAGGAAACCTGCAACAGAATCAATCGATGGACAAAAAAGTGAAAAATAAAAATAGATCGAACTAAATCAGTGCATGTTGATTTTACTCTTTCGACCAAATGTCCAAAAACAAATAAGAATAAACAATGACGTTATTCCGCATCACGATTCGGCCAAATACCTAGGGATGAACTTGAGTTAAATGGAAAGAGAACCTAAAAAAAATTTCCATAATAAAGTCCTAAGATGCATTGTTGATACACCTTGGTTCTATTGAAACGATTATCTTCATAGAGACCTGAAGATGCCAACTATCGAAGAAGAAAGAGATTTGCTGCGAAACATGAGGGTCGACTCCACTCCCACGTCAACGAAGAAGCGTTGCAATTACTGGACAACTTTACACAAGAAGCCATTTGAGCTAGTGCAGTGAACGTTAATGTTAGTGCTAGTGTAAAACAGTGTAATAAATCGTCACGCCATATTGTGATGCTTTCCTATAGAAACAATTAAGACAGCCCAATGGGGACTTCTTAGATAAGTAATTAGTTTATAAGATTTTTAGATTAAAATTGTAGGTTGGTCAATAATGACAATACTCTAACAAAAAAAAAAATTAAATGAAAAACAAAATAAAATTGTTAACTAGAGTTGTTAAGTGTAAATGGTAGAGGAGCAAAAATGCACCCTGCGAGGGGGTTGAAAAGGGGTAAAAAATGGTATTATTG